GCGGGCCCGGCAGCGGGGCGCGGTGCGGGCCCGTGTCCGCCCCCCACGGCTGCGCACCGGCGCACGGCCATCCGCAGCGCTCCCCGCTGGGCGGCACCAGCCGCGGGGCTGAGGGGCTTCAGCGGGCGGTTACCTGAAAGCTTCCCAGGCAGAACGCAACTTTCCCGTGGGCACGGATTTCTTTGTGTATGTTTTTCAATGGTCAGGCTTCTCTTAGGCTACAGGGTGCCTCTCCTTTGGTGTATGCACGGAACTGTACCTGCTCCCAAGCTTGCCTACCCCAAAGCCTTCTGAATCCCCACCTCCCTATCTTAAGCATTCCCTTTCAGTTTTGTTTGAATCCCATTTTTGTGTTCTGTTCCATACGGACTGTTACACCGCCCTCACCAACTTGCTGTGTAAGTGCCCTCCAATCACTACTCATCAGGGTTGTTGTTTTTTTTTTTACTGTTTTTTTTTTTTTTTTTTTTTTTTTTTTAAAGGGAGGCGACCGAGTTTGGGTAAAAGAGAGGCAAAGCCATATTCATACAAGATATCTTCCGGTGGGGAAATCTGGTTGCAATGAAACAGCCAAGAAGTTCTGAAAGGCGCATTTGCTCATGAGATAACTACTAAACCACAGACCTCCTCGGAATCCTAACTTAATTTGCAAGATGTTTTCCTCTCCAAAGCGGAGGGAGCAAACACACCCTCCAGCTTTATTTCAAACAAGAACTGAGACCCAACGTGGCCACTTATAGAGATAACTAAGCTGTCTTGAAATGATCTCACGATAGTGTCAAGAGGTAAAGATACGGCTGTAAACACACACACTTACTTTACATATTACTTTAGATAAACAGTGGGAAATGCAACTTTGCTAGGTGGTCGCTTCCACACCCAGGAAACTGTCGGTATACATATTGTTTATGTACATGCATATAAAAAAAAAATAATAAAAAAAATTAGGCATACGTATACTTGCTAATTCTGTGTGTTAGCTGAGGAAGCCAAAAAGCAATTATCGGGAATTACTGCTGATGCTGGCAGCTTCGAGCAGCCTGGCACGTGTTTGGGGCAAATTTTTACCAATGGCAAATTTCACTTAAACGGACTAGAACTGCAGTATCGCCCCTACATGTCGCTATCCCGAGCCGGGGCAGCACCACCGTTCCCCCCTTCTCCCCGTGCCTCCGCGGCGGCCGGGCGAGCAGCCCCCGCCCCTCTACGTGGCCGCCTCCTCTTCTTGGGCCGCGGTGCGCGTTGCTGTGATGGGGGTAGGAGGGATCGTCTTCCGCGGGGGACCGTCCGCAGCCTGGTAGCCTTGTTCCCAGCCGACCTCTCCCTGAGCCGAAGAG